CATGTTACAGATCTGAAAATGTGAATCTGTCAGTTCATATTCATACAGCTCTGCAAACTGAAAAGTGACGTTATTGCAGATTGGCACAAAACTGTTATTCTGCACAATGTTTTATGTTTTATGATTTTGACAAACATATGCTGAATTGTAGTTTTAGAAACTAGCAAGCAAGAAATTACAATTTTGTTGTGCAGTATTATATGCAAGAAGATCTGAAAATGTGAATCTGTCAGTTCATATTCATACAGCTCTGCAAACTGAAAAGTGACGTTATTGCAGATTGGCACAAAACTGTTATTCTGCACAATGTTTTATGTTTTATGATTTTGACAAACATATGCTGAATTGTAGTTTTAGAAACTAGCAAGCAAGAAATTACAATTTTGTTGTGCAGTATTATATGCAAGAAGATAATCATGTTACAGAGCATTACATCACATGTTCTGTAAATCAGTTTCAAAGAATAGTTTTGAACACGCATAAGATGATATTTCACTATAATGACCCTATGATGGAACCCTTGTTAAGATCCCTTTTTGAGATTCAGAAAACTGTTTTATATTTCTGTGCATCCAAAAGCTGACATTTGCAATATTTCATTTCGTTTATCACGTCATTGCTGTAAATTGGGCACAGGCGCAGACAAATCTATATTTAAGTATTTTCATATTTTGCTGTAAATTATTGTTTGTCCTATAATTCCAATTTTTGGGCATATGTTTCTTTCCTCTGAAGATTTGTTTGCAAATGTATGGACTGACTGGTTAAAAGACATACTGGATTTCCTCTTGTGAGCATCTGGAGTAGAAATGTTTTGAGTAAACTTAACATTTTTAATATTCATAACTAATGCATAGTTTGAAAACTGCCATTCCATAGCTTGAAGTGAGGCTTCAGATCTTTTTCTTTTAGTTGGCAAGCTGGGACAACAATTTAAATTTGGTAGAAGTGTTATTACAGGTGATAGACTAGTGATCGTGTCCGAAATCCTACTGGTTCTATTCATGTTCTTCCATCAGATAACTGAGTTCAGGGAAGTTACAGAACATGGTTATTACTGTATTGTTAAGTGAGATTTGTAAGGGCAGTTGATATATTTTATGTCAGCTGCTGAAAATGTGAAAACAGTCAAGTGGTGGGTTTGTAAGCTTTTCACAAGTTCTGACAAAGGAGCAGAAAACTCCAAATTTCAGTAATCAGTCTTTAACCTAGGCAAGGTATGAAGTTTCAAGATTAGTTGTCTTTGTGTGGTGGAGTGGAATCA